GGTCCTCGCCCTGGCACGGCATCCCGGGCTCCGGCACGTTGGGGAACACTGGCGGGAGAAACAACAAAGGGCAGTTAGTGGCTGATCTCGGCCCGACGGGGGGGTGGGGTGGGGGGCAAAAGGTAAGAAAGGGGAAGGGGAAGGGAAGGGGAATGGGAATGGGAAAGGGAAGAGGAAGGAGAAGGGAAAGGGGAAGGGGAAAGGGAAGAGGAAGGAGAAGGGAAAGGGGAAGGGGAAGGGAAAGGGGGAAGGAGAAGGGAAAGGGGAAGGGAAGGGGAAGGAGAAGGGAAGGGGAATGGGAAAGGGAAGAGGAAGGAGAAGGGGAAGGGGAAAGGGGAAGAGGAAGGAGAAGGAAAGGGGAAGGGGAAAGGGAAGAGGAAGGAGAAGGGAAAGGGGGAAGGGGAAAGGGAAGAGGAAGGAGAAGGGAAAGGGGAAGGGGAAGGGAAAGGGGAAGGGGAAGGGGAAAGAGAAGAGGAAGGAGAAGGAAAGGGGAAGGGAAGGGAAAGGGGAAGGAGAAGGGAAAGGGGAAGGGGAAAGGGAAGAGGAAGGAGAAGGGGAAGGGGAAGGGGAAGGGGAAAGGAAGAGGAAGGAGAAGGGGAAGGGGAAGGGGAAAGGGAAGAGGAAGGAGAAGGAAAGGGGAAGGGGAAGGGAAAGGGGAAGGAGAAGGGGAAGGGGAAAGGGAAGAGGAAGGAGAAGGGGAAGGGGAAGGGAAAGGGGAAAGGGAAGAGGAAGGAGAAGGGAAAGGGGAAGGGGAAAGGGAAGAGGAAGGAGAAGGGAAAGGGAAGGGGAAGGGAAAGGGGAAGGGGAAAGGGAAGAGGAAGGAGAAGGGAAAGGGGAAGGGGAAAGGGAAGAGGAAGGGGAAAGGGAAGAGGAAGGAGAAGGGAAAGGTGAAGGGGAAGGGAAGGGAAAGGGGAAGGGGAAGGGAAGAGGAAGGGGAAGGGGAAGGGAAAGGGAAGAGAAGGGAAGGGAAAGGGGAAGGAAAGGGGGAAAGGGAAGAGGAAAGGAAGAGGAAGGAGAAGGGAAAGGGGAAGGGGAAAGGGAAGAGGAAGGGGAAGGGAAAGGGGAAGGGGAAGAGGAAAGAGGAAGGGGAAAGGAAGAGGAAGGAGAAGGGGAAGGGAAAGGGGAAGGGGAAGGAAAGGGGAAGGGGAAATGGAAGAGGAAGGAGAAGGGAAAGGGGAAGGGGAAGGGGAAGGGAAAGGGAAGGGGAAAGGGAAGAGGAAGGAGAAGGGAAAGGGGGAAGGGGAAGGGGAAAGGGGAAGGGGAGGGAAAGGGAAGAGGAAGGAGAAGGGGAAGGGGAAGGGGAAGGGGAAGGGGAAAGGAAGAGGAAGGAGAAGGGAAGGGGAAGGGGAAGGGGAGGGAAAGAGGAGGGGAAGGGGAAGGGAAGGAGAAGGGGAAGGGAAAGGGGAAGGGGAAGGGAAAGGGGAAGGGGAAAGGGAAGAGGAAGGAGAAGGGAAGGGGAAGGGGAAGGGGAAGGGAAAGGGGAAAGGGAAGAGGAAGGAGAAGGGAAAGGGGAAGGGGAAAGGGAAGAGGAAGGAGAAGGGAAAGGGAAGGGGAAGGGGAAAGGGAAGAGGAAGGAGAAGGGGAATAGGAAGAAGAGGAAGGAGAAGGGGAAGGGGAAGGGGAAGGGGAAAGGGAAAGGAAGGAGAAGGGGAAAGGAAGAGGAAGGGAAGGGAAAGGGAAGGGAAAGGGGAAGGGGAAGGGAAAGGGGAAAGGGAAGAGGAAGGAGAAGGGAAAGGGGTAAGGGGAAGGGGAAGGGAAAGGGGAAAGGGAAGAGGAAGGAGAAGGGGAGAAGGGAAGAGAAGAGGAAGGAGAAGGGGAAGGGGAAGGGAAAGGGGAAGGGAAGGGAAAGGGGGAAGGGGAAAGGGAAGAGGAAGGAGAAGGAAAGGGGAAGGGAAAGGGGAAAGGGAAGAGGAAGGAGAAGGGGAAGGGGAAGGGAAGGGAAAGGGAAAGGGAAGAGGAAGGAGAAGGGAAAGGGGAAGGGGAAAGGGAAGAGGAAGGAGAGGGAAAGGGGAAGGGGAAGGGGAAGGGAAAGGGGAAGGGAAAGGGAAGAGGAAGAGGAAGGGAAAGGGGAGAAGGGAAGGAAGGGAAGGGAAAGGGAAGGGGGAAAGGAAGAGGAAGGAGAAGGGAAAGGGGAAGGGGAAGGGAAAGGGGAAGGGGAAGGGGAAAGGAAGAGGAAGGAGAAGGGGAAGGGGAAGGGGAAGGGGAAAGGGAAGAGGAAGGAGAAGGGGAAGGGGAAGGGGGAAGGGGAAAGGGAAGAGGAAGGAGAAGGGGAAGGGGAAGGGGAAGGGGAAAGGGAAGAGGAAGGAGAAGGGAAGGGGAAGGGTAAGGGAAAGGGGAAGGGGAGGGAAGGGGGAAGGGGAAGGGAAAGGGGAAGGGGAAGGGAAGGGGAAGGGGAAAGGGAAGGGAAAGGGGAAGGGGAAAGGGAATAGGAGAAGGGAAAGGGAAGGGGAAAGGGAATAGGAGAAGGGAAAGGGAAGGGGAAAGGGAATAGGAGATGGGAAAGGGAATAGGAGAAGGGAAAGGGGAAGGGGAAGGGGAAGGGAAAGGGGAAGGGGAAAGGGAAGAGGAAGGAGAAGGGGAAGGGGAAGAGGAAGGAGAAGGGAAAGGGGAAGGGGAAGGAGAAGGGAAAGGGGAAGGGGAAAGGGAAGGGAAAGGGGAAGGGGAAGGAGAAGGGAAAGGGGAAGGGGAAAGGGAAGAGGAAGGAGAAGGGGAAGGGGAAGGGGAAGGGAAAGGGGAAGGGAAAGGGGAAGGGGAAAGGGAAGAGGAAGGAGAAGGGGAAGGGAAAGGGGAAGGGGAAGGGAAAGGGAAGAGGAAGGAGAAGGGGAAGGGGAAGGGGAAGGGGAAAGGGAAAGAGGAAGGAGAAGGGGAAGGGGAAGGGAAAGGGGAAGGGGAACGGGAAAGAGGAAAGGAGAAGGGGAAGGGGAAGGGGAAGGGAAAGGGGAAGGGGAAGGGAAAGGGGAAGGGGAAAGGGAAGAGGAAGGAGAAGGGGAAGGGAAAGGGGAAGGGGAAGGGAAAGGGAAGAGGAAGGAGAAGGGGAAGGGAAAGGGGAAGGGGAAGGGAAAGGGAAGAGAGAAGGAGAAGGGGAAGGGAAAGGGGAAGGGGAAGGAAAGGGAAAGAGGAAGGAGAAGGGGAAGGGGAAGGGGAAAGGGAAGAGGAAGGAGAAGGGGAAGGGGAAGGGGAAGGGGAAAGGGAAGAGGAAGGAGAAGGGGAAGGGGAAGGGAAAGGGGAAGGGGAAAGGGAAGAGGAAGGAGAAGGGAAAGGGGAAGGGGAAGGGAAAGGGGAAGAGGAAGGAGAAGGGAAAGGGGAAGGGGAAGGAGAAGGGGAAGGGGAAGGGGAAAGGGAAGGGAAAGGGGAAGGGGAAAGGGAAGAGGAAGGAGAAGGGGAAGGGGAAGGGGAAGGAAAGGGGAAGGGAAAGGGGAAGGGGAAAGGGAAGAGGAAGGAGAAGGGGAAGGGGAAGGGGAAGGGAAAGGGAAGAGGAAGGAGAAGGGGAAGGGGAAGGGGAAGGGGAAGGGAAAGGGGAAGGGGAAAGGGAAGGGAAAGGGGAAGGGGAAAGGGAAGAGGAAGGAGAAGGGGAAGGGGAAGGGGAAGGGAAAGGGGAAGGGAAAGGGGAAGGGGAAAGGGAAGAGGAAGGAGAAGGGGAAGGGGAAGGGGAAGGGAAAGGGAAGAGAAGGAGAAGGGAAGGGGAAGGGGAAGGGAAAGGGGAAGAGGAAGGGGAAGGGGAAGGGGAAGGGAAAGGGGAAGGGGAAGGGGAAGGAAAGGGGAAGGGGAAGGGGAAGGGGAAAGGGAAGAGGAAGGAGAAGGGAAAGGGGAAGGGGAAGGGGAAGGGGAAGGGGAAGGGGAAGGGAAAGGGGAAGGGGAAGGGGAAGGGGAAAGGAAAAGGAAAAGGAAAAGGAAAAGAACATAAAGAAAAAAACTAAACAAAAAAGAGAGGAGTAAGATAAAGAAAAGAAACAAAAAGAAAAGTAAAAAGAGATAATAAAATGAAAACAAAAAAAAAGAAAAAAAAGAAGAGAGTAAGAAAAGTAAAAAGAAAAAGAAATGGAGAGCAAAAACAGGCATAAAAGAAAAAAAAATCCAAAATAGAGAAAAGAAGTCAAGGAGAAAAGGAAAAGAAAAAAAACTGAAGACGAGAGGGAAAGAAAAAGAAAAAAAAGGAAAAGAAAGAAAAGAAAAAAAAAACACACAGCAAATGGAAAGGGAAAGAAGAGAAACCTGAAATCTGCCGTTCAATACTCCCACACCTGCAGGAACCTGATTACAGACGTGAGCCTGAAATACAATCATAAGGGAAATGCATTTTAATTTCTACCATTAAATCGACCTCCCCCGCAAGGCAGTAGTATCCATGGGAAGCAGTGGCTAACTAAAACTTCAAGCATGAGACATAAAGCAAGAGAGAAGACAGCTGAAAAGGAACCAGATAAGCTGCCAATTAACAAACATCAATATAAAGCGTGGCCACAGGAGAAATCAATAGGCACATAATTAGAGAGGAACGCAGATTTTCTTTCCCGCATAACACACACGCGCACACAACATCGATCTCTGTTCTCCTCCAACAATACACTCATCCACACCGCGGGGGAGAAATATCCCATGTGTTCCAGTACGGGGCTACTCCTAGCTGGGCGTGAGAAGGGACACGGCGGCGAGGAGAGAGAGAGCTGGGTTCGCAAAATCCGATCGCCTATCCGACAGGAAATGCAAATGCATGAGAAACAATATGAAAATGAGTAGTGACAAATAAATAAGTGAATAGAAAATAATTAATAAAAAATAAATAATTTTTAAAAAATCCGATCGCATATCCAACAGTAAATGCACATGAGGCGCAATTGGAAAATAAATAAATAATAAATATCTAGATAAATAAATAAATAAATGGATAAATAAAAATAATAACTAAAAACATAATAATAATCAAAATCGACTTTCCTGCTTCTCTCCAGCGACATCGACTTTTTTTTCTCTCCTGTCTCTAGCATTAAGTCGATTAGCAGTGTGGCGGAGAGACAGCGCAGGCATTTCCTGGATAATCCTGGCTTAGT